TATTGCTGGGTCATAGGGGAGTTCTATTGTTAGTTTCCTGAGGAACCTCCACACTGTTTTCCAGAGGGGCTGTACCCGTTTACATTCCCACCAGCAGTGTAGGAGGGTGCCCGTTTCTCCACATCCTCGCCAGCATCTAGAGTTCTCTGATGTGTTCATTTTAGCCACTCTGACTGGCGTGAGGTGGCATCTCAGTGTGGTTTTGATTTGTATTTCCCTGATGAGAAGGGATGCTGAGCATCGTTTCATGTGTCTGTGGGCCATCTGGATGTCCTCTTTGGAGAAGTGTCTGTTCATATCTTCTGCCCATTTCTTCACTGGGTTGTTTGTTTTTCGGGTGTGAAGTTTGGTGAGTACCTTATAGATTCTGGATATTAACCCTTTATCTGATATGTCATTTGCAGCTATCTTTTCCCATTCCGTTGGTTGCCTATTAGTTTTGTGGGTTGTTTCCTTTGCTGTGCAGAAGCTTTTAATCTTGATGAGGTCCCAATCGTTTAATTTTGCTCTTGATTCCCTTGCTTTTGGGGATGTGTCAAGTAAGAAGTTGCTGCGGTAGAGGTCAAGGAGGTTGTTTCCTGCTTTCTCCTCTAGGGTGTTGATAGTTTCCTGTCTCACGTTCAGGTCCTTTATCCATTTTGAGTTTATTTTTGTGCACGGTATGAGAAAATGATCTAGTTTCATTCTTCTGCATGTTGCTGTCCAGAAGAACTCACATTTTAAATGAACAGAAGGTTTAGGCAGCTTTCCTGCAGGAAGGGCACATGTAGATCCTCATGGCTCACTTTGGAAAGGTAGTTTTGTCAGGTCTCCTTGCTGACAAGGCGCCACTAAATCTCTGGGTTCGTTCTTCTCTTCCAGATGCCAGTATGGACAGAATAGCCTATGATGCTCATCCCCACCCACCACTTCCGAGACATTGAGCGGAAGCCAGAATACCTGCAGCCGGAGAAGTGTGTCCCACCTCCCCACCCCGGTCCCGTGGGAACCATGTGGTTTATCCGCGACGGCTGTGGCATTGCCTGTGCCATTGTCACCTGGTTTCTGGTCCTCTATGCGGAGTTCGTGGTCCTCTTTGTCATGCTGATTCCATCCCGAGACTATGTGTACAGCGTCATCAACGGAATCGTGTTCAACCTGCTGGCCTTCCTGGCCCTGGCTTCCCACTGCCGGGCCATGCTGACGGACCCCGTGAGTATGTCCGGGCTTGTTTTGACCAGCCCACACTCTGCCCCTCTGGTCCTGGCATGGCCGCAGCCTGCATGTCCCTTCCCCCAGGCCTCGGGCGTGTGGAGAACAGGAGGGCCAGGGCTGGGGTGGGAAAGTGGACTTGGGTCCCCCGAGAGGACACCGTCTGTGCCACAGCTTATCTGTCTGGGTCAAATGATTCTGTGTGTACACTGCTGGAGACGTTAATGGAGCCTGCTCTGGGAGAGCTTCGGCCTAGGGGGAATCCAGCGTCTACTTAGAAGGGCTCAGTCGGATAAGCAAGGTGACTGGGGGCAGGTCATTAGAGTGGAAAGCATGCTGGGGGGAGTTTGGTCAGGACGAGGCTTCCCAGTGAACACAGGACTGTGGCTGGGTGCTCTTGAAATTAAAGCCGTATCCAATTCCAGGAACGCACACGGAATGGCCTTCACTTTGTTTGGGCGAAGCTCACCTTTTCCTGAAAAGCTGGACAAGCCTGTTTCAGGCCTCAGCAAGTGCCTCTTGGTGAATATCTGTGGGGAAAGCGGTGGTGTTCTGCCTGATGACTTGGCTAAATATACCAAGCTGTGCAAGTGGCTATTGAGTGTCGTGTACCCTGGTATTAAATCTTCCGCTCCCGTTCATTATCTTGTAGAGGGAAAAGAGAGTGCGTGATTTGATAAAGACCTCCTGTGGCTTAATTGTTTGAGTGCGGAGGAGGAGCGTGTTTAAATTAAGAAACGGAAGGCACCGCTCACGCAGACTTTGTTTCTATGAGCCCCGGGGGGGAAAGCAAAACAGAGACCTTAGGGTCCCCGGACTGGTTCCCTTCTCGGAGGGCTCCATTTCCTGCTGGTTCAGGTGGTGGAGAGTTAACCCAGCCCCGGGGGAGAGCAGCTTTCGCAGCTCAGTTCCATTTCAGCACCAGATACGGTCCAGACAGCGCCGTCTGCGGGGCCACCGGACAGCCAGCGCCTGAGGGAAACTGAGTCCAGGTTTCCCCCGCTATCGGAGAGAAGAGTGCTCCCCTGAAACCTTTCATAAGCTGGCATCCCATAAAGCAAAGAAGCGGGTGCCGTTTTGTAAAAGCAAACACCCTCTTCAGATTTCTTACGGTTGGCAAAAACAGGCACTAAAGTAGGTCTTTTGGAAAAGCAAAGCGATGTAAAACGAACAGTCTATAATCGACGGGAAGCCTGTGCATGGTTATAATCCAGGTGCCCTCTGTCTAGAGAAGACAGGTGAGGCCAAGGCTGCGGCAGAGGAAAGCGCAGGTTGCTGTGGGAGAGCAAGGGAGGGGATATTACCCTGCTGCTCAGTGACGCCCAAGCCAGGTCTTGTGAGCGCTGTGCTTGCTGTTAGGGGAGGTGACAGGCAGGCGGGCGGGGGACACCGGTGGCGTGCCAGGCAGAGAGAGCGGCATGCACAGGGACACAGGAATGCAGGCATGTGGCTCCACGAGGCCCCGGGAGCTATTCATGATGGTGGGAACTTAGGGCGTAGGTTTGGGCCAGCGGTGTGGGTGCAGTGCCAAAGCAGTACAGTAGCAGCTGGGTGACGAGGGCAGTCTGGAGCCTCTGAGGATTTTAAATAAAAGAGTGGCAGGGCACCTGGGTGGCTCAGTCGGTTAAGCATCCGACTTCGGCTCAGGTCATGATCTCACGGTTCATGGGTTCAAGCCCCACGTCAGGCTCTGTGCTAACAGCTCAGAGCCTCGAGCCTGTCTTTGGATTCTGTGTTTGCTCTCTCTCTGCCCCTTCCCTGCTCATGCCCTGTCTCTCCCTCTCTCAAAGATAAATAAACATTAAAAAAAAAAAAGGTGGTAAGATCCAGGTGTCATTTTACAGGGATCATTCTGGCAGTGGTGAGGAGGTGCCCGGATCAAATGAGTGGCATGTTCATTGAGTGCCTACTCTGCAAAAGGTGCTTTCTGAGCAATGGATACAGCTGTGAGCATGACAGACCAAACCACCTGCCCCCCATGAAGCTCACATCTCAGTGTAGGGGGCGAGGCAGTGAAGACGTGACAGAACAAGATAATTTCAAACAAGGATAAGTGTTTTAAAAACAGTCAAAGAGTGTGATGGAGGTGATGTGGTAGAGACTTTTCTGGGGCGCAGGGGGCCTTCTTTACCTGAAGGGAGTCTGAGAAGGTCTCAGGGCAGTGCCACCTGACTGAGACCACGAAGCTGGGAGTCAGGCAAATGAAGCTCTGCGGGCAGAGCCTTCCAGGAAGAGGAGAGAGCAGGTGCAAAGGCCCAGAGGTGGGCACATGCTTGGTGTGTTTGAGGAACAGGACTAAGACCTGGGTGATGGAAGCTTGATGAGTCGGGGCAAGAGGAGCCAGAAGAGGTGGATAGGTACACAGAAGCTGGATGGGGCAGGGCCCTGGGGGCCTCATGAGAGCTTTGCTCTTTACTCAAAATGCAGTGGGAAGCCATCAGAGGCATGACGTAACCTAATTTGTTTTTAATGTTTATTTTTGAGAGATAGGGAGAGACAGAGTGTGAGCAGGGGAGGGGCAAAGAGAGAGGGAGACACAGAATCCAAAGCAGGCTCCAGGCCCATGTCAGCACAGAGCCCAAAGCAGGGCTCGAACCCATGAACCGCGAGATCATGACTTTGAGTCAAAGTCAGATGCTTAACTGACTGAGCCAACCAGGCACCCCAACGTAACCTGAGTTTCAAACTGACAGTGCCTTGTGCTCGTGATGGGGGTCTGAGGTGGGGCAGGGAACCAGGAAGATCAGCGGATTGCACGGGCCCGCACAGGACACGGTGATGGCTCAGACCAACGTGGGAGATGTGAAGCTGGACAGAGCTATTGGATTTGGAGTATATTTTAAGCCACTAATTCTCAAACCTGGCTGCACCATTAGAATACTTTAGGGAGCTTTGAAAAAGTACGGTTGCCTGGGCCCCGCCCCAGAGATTCTGCTCTGATTGGCTTGGGGCGGAGCCCTGAGTATTGGAGTGCTTTAAAGCTCCCAGGCATCCCCTGTGTTCAGCCAGGTCTGAGAAGCTCTGTGCAGAAGGGCCGATCGATTGGAGAGGGGCTGGAGAGCGTGCCGCCCAGAGTCTTGGCTCGAGCAGCTCAGGGATTACTGGTGCCGTTTATTAAAAGGGAGAGTCTAGGAGAACAGATTTTGGAGAGAAATCAAAGCTTCTGTTCTGGCCAACTGTGTCTGTATTACACGCAAGCAGAGATGCCAGGTGGGCATTCGTAAGCAGGTGGAGGGTCAGGATCAGACAGCAGGGCTGAGGTCATTGGTGTCTAGAAGGCATGTGAGTCAGGGAGCTGGATGTCAGGAGGAGGGCGGTGGGAAGGCTTCTGCCCTGACATTCACGCCTGTGTCCTTTTACCCCACATTGACCTGCGTGGCCCCTCCTGACATCTCCCCATTGGTCCCTTGGATGCAGGAGCCAATGATTCGCATGGCTTCCCATCCCAAATGAATGAGAACCATAGACTATTCCCCAAACACCGGTCTGCTTCTCATTCATGGATTTTGCTAATGGCCGCAAAGAAAACTGGGCCCTAAAACAAAGCAACTCAAACTGCCCATCTCACCTGCCGTTCCCCTCTCCCAGCACATGACACGTTATGCAAAACCCTGTGGGTACAGAGAGAGTGGGAGGCCCTGGGGCCCAGCTGGGAGCCTAGATCTCACCCTGAAAACAGATCAGTTGGGCTTCATGCTAACACTGCAAGGGGAGTCTGTTTTTAGAAAGGTGTCACTGAGGGGTTCTAAGGAATTGCCTCACACGGTTATAATGTTTTGTATCTCAGGAATTCATGTTGTATACAGTCCTTCAGGAGAACCTATATGCAGAGGTTATAAGCAATTGTAAGAATGTATGCACTGTTTACCATTTGGGTTTGTTAGTATTGCTAGGTTATAATTTAAAAAGAGAAAACTCTCACAGTCTTCCGCAAACAGTTAACATACCACTTCCAGCTTTGAAATTCTTACTGCAGTTGTAACATCAGAACAATTGCAACCACCCACAGCTTTCTGGACCATTTAGCAGTCATTTCCTCCAACGCAGTAGGAAATGGGCCCATGTAGAGCTTGCGCAGAAAAGGGGAGGGAAATGGCTCACACAGGTGCGAGTGGCCGCCTTGGAGGTGAGGCTCCCATGGGAAATGGGGTAAAAGGGACAGGCCTGCAAGGAGACAGAAAGGGGCCAAATGGCCTCATTTGGCAAGACTGCTGGCCTAGAGGTCACACGGCATGGGCAGAGCACAAGTCAGACCGATGTTGGGTGTCTGGTGCCCTGTCCTTTCTCGCTCTAAGAAGCTGTGAGGTCATCAAGGAGCTTTCTGTGTTTCTGAAACACTTGCGAGGTCCAGAGAGCCTCTGAGCGCCCAGACTCTCAGAAATTCTTACCTTGGTGCCCGTCTCCCTTCCCGCCCCACCTCCAACTTCACCACTTTTTCCTTTCCCTTTGCAAATCCGTTTCAATGCCTCATCCTGTGAGCTTCTTCAGGAATCCTGGGATTCCCTTTAAAATTTAGATCTGGGACAATGTCTGTCTCCCAGAAGCTGCTTAAAGCTGGGAGGCATAGATGGTCTCTTTTTGTCCTGGCTGCCAGGAAGCTCAAAGCCAAGCACTTTGTAATCGCAATAATTGTGTAAACCCTTTTGACCATTTACTAACTAACCATTTACTAACCTCATTGTAAACTACCTCAGATCTGAGGGACGCCTGAGTGGCTCAGTCGGTGAAGCATCTGACTTCAGCTCAGGTCACGATCTTACACTTTGGGAGTTCAAGTCTCTCGTCAGCTATCTGCTGTCAGCAGGGAGCCTGCTTGGGATTCCCTATCTTCCTCTCTCTCTGCCCCTCCCCCACCCTCAAAAATAAATAAACATTAAAAAATTTTTTTAATTATCTCAAATCTGAAATTTCACAAAAGCAGGCACATAAATCAATTTAACCACATCGTTAAGGAAAAGAAAATTCATCAGTCTGCCTGCCGCTGCCTCTCCCTCCCTTTG